TTATTATTATTATTATCATGATCATCATTATTAGCAGTTATCATCTTCATCATCATCACCATCATCACCATCACCACCATCATCATCGTCATCGCCAGCATCATCATTATCATCATCATCATCAACATCATCATCATCATCACTATCGTCATCATCATCGTCATCATCATCATCGCTGCTCATTATTATTATTACTATTACTATTAATATAATAATAATAATAATAATAATAATAAATATTATTATTAATATAAATATGAATTAATATCAATGCTATAAATTATTATTACTATCACCATCGATCACACTACATACTGTAAAATACTTTTTCGTTTTAGTTTATTAATTAGGCCTACTACTTATTGTTAGTGCAATTCTTTAGTATCATACTATTATTTGAATTTGATGGTTTAAAAACGTTAGACCTGAATTTACAACCCAGAATAAACTTAAAGATGCACGTCTGTCTGCCATGAAATAAAAAAACCTCAAGTGATTAATGAAAATGTATATTGTTCAATTAAAAGGATCAATGAAGATAATGAATTCTAATCATAAATAGGTTAAAAACTCTCCATTAATTGACGGATTTTTGTTCACATTTAAAATTTTAGCCGTACTGTACGTTAATAACTTCCATAGGCAAACTCAGCACATGAAGTATGGAATTGAAGTTTCATTTTTTAGCTCATAACAGAAAATCTTTACAAGACGGGTTCTGGTGGAGAACATGAATAATGTTGTAGAACTGCCAAAATGACTTACCACTTGTCCCTTGATTCCAGGTACGGCAAAGTTAAAAAAAAATATGTTAACACCAAAAAGCACATACAACGAAAAGTGCCTAATACTGTAATCAGTTGTATGAAAATGTACACCGGGCGTGAATTTAACATGTGATCGCTATCGGCCATGGCAAGACCAAAGGCTGTTTATTATTACATACTTAATTTAGCCAGATCATTTTCACACCACTGATACACATCCTCACACCGAAGAGAAATGACAGCTCAGAGAGAACACAGAAAAATTCATATATGATGAATCAATGTTGCTGTGTAAATAAATAAGCACTCAATAGAAAAAAGAATTATGACAGTATAATAATAATGATAATAATAATAATAATGTGATATTTATATAGTGCATATTTCATATTGCAACTTTACACAGAAATAATATAGGCCAAGCGAGAAAATACAAAATTAATAACAATAAAATAATAACAAAATAATAATAAAAAATAATAATAACAATGATAACAATGAGCTATACTACTCATATTTTTAAAACTAATTAATGATTGGCCGTTGACTCCGAGGAGCCATCCGCCCTTTGTTCAGCTACTGGTTTTGTGTGCTGCTGGGTAAACACCCTCCCCCCAGCAACCACTAAGACACATCTGAGAGGGTTGTCAGTTTAGTCGCCGACTCTTGGACAGGATGGAGTTTAATGTCACCCATGCCGTTCCTAACTACCTAGTCAGGCTCAGGAGAGAAAAAAGTTGATATGTTGTAGAACTGATTTTTTTAAGACCGAAAAAAGAAGTTTGATCAAAAACTGAGCAACGGTGAATGAGATACAGATTTTTGAATATTTAAAAACTGGGGGAAAAAGGTGTAAAAATGGGCGGTTACGCCCCTTTTTCCCCAGTTTTTAAATATTCAAAAATCTGTATCTCGTTCACCGTTCCACAGTTTTTTTTTGTCAAACAACTTGTTTCTGTCTTAGAAAAATCAGTTCTACAACATACCAAAAATGTTTTTTCCTCCGGAGCCTGACTTTAAGCTACGCTTAATCGAGCATATCCTTTCAAAAAATTGAACATGTGACCATTTGCTGTCAATGATACTGTTAAGCAACGAAATCATGTTGGAATATCATAGATTCATTCCGGTCAGATTATTCCTCACAATACTGATTTATTTTATTGAAGTTTCTAAACTTAGTTCAATTTGAACACTGTTCTTTATCATTTAGGCCTACATATTTGCAAGACATTTGACTTTTTTTTATTGATACGAACTATTAATAGGGCCTAGGCTACTAGGCCTATATATTTTCTAAACGTGATCCACGTTGAGAATGTCCTGAGGTCAGGACGGAATGTTCGTGCCAAGCAAAATAAGCTTTCTATAATACGTCAATTATGTATGATTTTTTAAACATCTTATCAATGTCTATTTTTACTAAATAAATTGTTTCAAAAATACGTCAACTTGAAAATGTGTTATTATTGTCATCGCTTCACCACTATATTTATTTTGGAACAAAGTTCTAAATCAATTTACAATGAAACATCTGAAGAAAATAGAAATGATAATTTACCATCAGTCAAAATGAAAATTGCAAACACTGATGCTGTTTTTGGTCGTCCTAGAGAAAAAAAAAGAAAATTATATCAAAATAATATCGAATACCGGTACTGCTTGCAAACCAAGGCACCGGGGCAAGGGTTGGACCATTGTTATGGTGCTTAAAACAACAAAATCGAATTAGTGTTTTCTGTTTTCCGTTTCTTACCATAATCATGAGGTTGTAGATAAATTTTTGTGTTTATAAGATTGCCGTTGTCGCTCTTGGTGTTTCCTGCCACTAACACATTGTAACCGTCCATCTCGAACATGTGGGAACAATCAACTCCTTTTGTTAATATATCCTTTGAAAGAAATTTTGTATAAAATCATAATACTGTTTATACCACTGTAGGTATATTTTTATACATGCAGCTGCGCATGACAAGCTTTTTTATTAAAAAGTTCAAGGTGATCACAATTCACAATACAAACTTTATTCAATCTTACATTATTAACAGTACATCATAAATAATTACAATTAGATATAAAATATAATTGTAAGATCTGGGAGATTCTCATTAAGACGAAAGTCTTCCTCCTCGTACTTTACACTTGGCGATTTTTACTTGGCAGCAGCACTCCCCCACAACCGACAAAACACCCCGAGTTCTCCCCTTCATTACTAGCACCTGCATACTGTAACTCAAATACCAAACTTAACTTCTAACTAATTGATCTCCTTTCTAAATTTATTTCAATTGCCTGCCTCTTTTTCTCACACTATAATTTGCTAATTGTTCCACAAATAAAGCTTCTGAAGTAACAGATTATTTATTATATTCAGCAGCCTCTTTTACAACGTATCCCATCACTTAGGAACATTTTTATGTCAATGATCGTTTATACGTACTTTTTTTTAAATTATTTTGTTAAACAAATCCTAATCTGGCAGTGGGGAAAAAAAAGACGAGAAAATGTTTTACCTGAGTATATTGAACATCAAAGTGAGTTCCTGTAAATGAATACACACGTGAATCTGTCGCCCTATCAGGGTTTTTATACCGAGCATTAAACCAGCTTGCATCCCCTCTACTGTCCAGAAGAAAGGCTGCTGTACATCTCCCACATACCTTGTCAATTAATTCCTCTAGTTGTTCTTAAATAGTAAGAATTTTGGGATTGTAATTTGTATCAAGCAACTGTGAACTGTATGACAAATATTTATTTAAAGTAGGGACCTGTTATCTCATTTAAAAATGTCCTCAAAATTTAAAGGGTAGTGCGCAAAATTCTAAAGGGTGGATATAAGCGTTACCATTTTTGGAAGTGACAGGACGCAGAGTGGCCCATGTCCCACGTTTCACATTAATTTAATACTCAATACATTCATATTAATTAAAATCCAAACAAAACTCATTCTATAATAGAATTTTTCCATAAACAAAATACTTCAAAATAAATAGTCGATTCAGAAACCCACCACCCCCCACCCCTCAAAAGAATTGCTAGGCCTACCCAGTATGTTTTTCATTTATAGAAGAGCAGGTAGGGGGAAGATCTAGGGGTAACGAGTGGGGACATCATTTTCTTCTTTTTTTCCGTCATCTTTAAAACCATAAGCGACATATTTTTACCAAAATCCAAAGATAGCTTAAAATTGTTAAGTCT